ATTGCTGCTAAATTGTTTTTTTTGTGTGTTTGTTGATTATAAGCTCTGGTTTGTCCTCTGTGTCCGTTCAAAGGGTGCGAGTTCGGTACCAGAAGAGACAGAAGTTGCAGTTTGAAACAAAGCTTGGAATGAACTCTCCGTTCTGAAGTCGGTTGGTGTGGCAATACCAGGAGCCAGCTTGGTGCACATGCTGTAGCAGACAATTTAAGCCTAACTGCACTGCGGCCAGGCGGAGCAAAAGTCGAACAGCCATGATGGCAGTTTGACACATTTGTTCAAGCTTCTGGGACCGTTTTTTAACAGTTGATTCATGACAAAAAAGGCAGGGAAAAGAAAGACTCCAAAGAATCCAATTTAATTACAAACATTTAAATGATGTCTGAAGAAGCTCCTGCTTCATCTTCTTCACATCTGTTCTACATCTGAGAAACGTTTTACATGGGGTCCACTCCAGAAACGTTCCACTAAATGCTACTTCACTTTCAGAGGATCTTAATGTGACATCCACTGAGACATATTGAATTGTTGCATATCATCTGACTAACTTTGATGATCTTTTTTTTTTTTAAACAAGTCAAATGGGAACACACCGGGCTGAAAAAATGGTACCCATGGAGCCCCAAAGTTTGTAATAATTATAAATATAGGCATGAGTACTTTTGAAGAACTTAGTTCTATTTCACTAAATACATAAACAAACAGTCGAATAAACTTTGTTTGTGAAAACATTTCAGGAGGTAAGATGCACAGTTGAATGTGTTTTTATTAAAAATGGCTAATTTATTTTGTAAAGGAGGTTTTCCCATTTAGAGTTAAAAAGGAAACTAAAGCATGAAGTGCCACTCAGGTTCTCTCTCATGTTTGCTGATGTGTTTGGGTTTATTTACTGCACTAAGTAGTTTGTTAGTTGACAGGAACAGGAACTATTTAGGTTGTTGAGCTTGTAACAGAGAATAAGTCTAGAGTCATGAAGAGAGACATTATGCAATACAACCTGACAACAAGTCATTTTTTTTACCCCTGAGACATAAAAGGTTGATGGGGTCGTCAAGGGGAGCAATGTGGACACCCAAGTTTGGGAATGTAATAACTAGAGAATGTAGCAACACAGGATTTATTATTTTTTAAATTGATACGTGGGTGTATCTACTAAAAATATCGAATGAGTTTGAATCTCAGTGGCCTTAACCTTAAGGTCACAGGTCAAGTTCTCTGAAAATCTTCAGAATACAATTAGTTGAGAACACGTTCCTCAACAGCCTGCAAGATTTGAATTGTATTTTGCTATACACACACACACATCTGTGTGTGTGTGTGTAGCTGTAATGTAATTTTGCATTTGTTTAACAATAATAATAATAACTCTGAAAATAAATTTTGCCAGGGGCATGTTAACCCTGTAAGTGATCGAGAGTTAAAATTGTTTTTCAGAAAATGTAAAAATCCCCCCAAAACCTTTGTTTTGAGTTGGAATTGTGTATATATGATATTGTTGTTGTTTTTTTAAAATTTTTTATATGTATGGGAATAAAGTTGAATTCACATATGGCATGTGCAGGTTGCAAAGTTTGCAATATTCATTGGCTGTCACAGTAGTTGTGATTAAAAACCTCACTTTATTCCATGTGTGTCCTAGGTTTTTGGAATTTTGTAAATATTTGTCATTGTAATAAGTAATATTGACAGATTGTTTCATCCATTTTTTCCCTTATTCGTCCATTTTGTCAGAGTAACGCAAAATGTAAGGATTATATTCTCTTGCAGACA